TACCTAAGTTTTGGCACTGTGTGACACAGAGTGTTGGACTGGATAGGCCACTGGCCTGATCCAACACTGGCGTCTCTTATGTTCTCTTATGTACTTATGACCCCATAGTGTTTTCAAGGCTGGAGATCTTCAGAGGTGGTTTCCCATTGCCTGCCTCTGCGTCACAGCCCTGGTATTCCTTGGAGGTCTCCCATCCAAATACTAGTTGGGGGGGTGGAGCCTGAGGAGGGTCTCCAGATGATACACATCAGTTCTCTAGGGGAAAAGCAGCTGCTTTGGAGGGCAGACTCTTACAGAATTATACTTTGCTGAGGCCTCTTCCCTCCCCAAACCCCAGCCTCCCCGGGTTCCTCCTCCAAAATGTCCAAGAATCTCCCAACCTAGAGTTGGGTGCGAGGGTGCGGTGGTGACCTCCCAGTTTCCCTCCCAGAGAGGGCGCGTGGTGTATACGTGTGGGAGATGAAAGGCAGACAGTTCTTTGCACAATTAATACTAATTATCGTACGGCATTGTGTGTAGGACAGGCAGGAGATCCGAAGATTGTCTGGCAGCCTGAAGTTCTAGCTCCTCTAGCGTTATGCACCACTAAAGTGGTGAGCTAGACTTGGGGGGGGGCTGAGAGACCCCAGAAAGTTCTGTGACTGACCCAAGGTCACCCAGCGGGCTTCATGTGGAGGAGTGTGGAATCGAACCCGGTTCTCCAGATTAGAGTCCGCCGCTCTTAACCACAGCAACACGCTGGCTGTTGTCGCACAATTACCAGGGCGCAAACTCTATGGAACTCTCCCACATGGACCTCTCGCCTCTTCCTCTCTCCTCCGCTGGTTTCGCTGCAGGGTTGCCAGCCTCCAGGTGGGACCTGGAGCTTCTTGGAATTGCAAGTGATCTCCAGATGACTTGGATTCGTTCCAGGGCTATTTTGGGGCAGGAACGCACAGGAACGGAGTTCCGGCTGGCTCCAGAGTCTACAGAGGGGAGGCCTGGAGTGCGACACCCCCCCCTGGGCGGGGAGGCATTTAAGGATCGGGGAGGCATTTAATTGGAAGGATCGGAGAGGCATTTAAATCTCCCCATGCCTTCCCCGGCCTGTCTAAGGGCCGGCTTGTCCGGGCTCCCCGCAGCTGCGGAGCACCTGGGCAAGCCAAGGGAAGGCATGTTAAACTGCTTCCCCTTCCCTTCAAGGTGGGGGGGCTTGCCTGGTCTCCCCACAGCCGCGGGGCTCCCGGGCAAGCCAAGGGAAGGCACGGGGTGTGGCCTAATATGCTAATGAGTCCTGCTGGGCTTTTTCTACCAAAAAAGCCCTTAGAGAGCCAGTTTGGTGTAGTGGCTAAGTGCGCGGACCCACCCCCCCCCCCCCCCCCAGTTGTCTGAGTCAACCTTTGCCTGGTTTTCAGATTTAACAAGGAAAGGGATTAGTCTCTCTTGCCAAGGAGTCACAGGAGAGGTCTGGTGTGGCCTTCCCAACACTAGATGGAGGCAGCAGGTTTCCAGACTCATAGGTCCAGTCTTCTGGGACAGTTCTAATGATCAGTCCCTTTCTCTTGCTTTATTCCCTTCTTGGTTTGGTGTAGTGGTTAAGTGCGCGGACTCTAATCTGGGAGAACTGGGTTTGATTCCCCACTCCTCCACTTGCACCTGGCTGGATGACCTTGGGCAAGCCGTAGTTCTGATAAGAGCTGTTCTTGAAAAAGAGCAGTTTCTGTCAAGAGCTCTCTCAGCCCCACAGGGCCTTATACGCTGCTGGGGTCCTCTCTTCCCTAAACCCCCCCTCCCCCCAGGCTCCGTCCTTCCAAATCTCCAGGAGTTTCCCAACCCAGAGCGGAAAACCCGATTTTGCTGCCCCAAAGACAACACAATCGAGAACTTCGGGCACATCTTTCAGCGAAAGAGCAAACTCCTTCTTGGCTTTCCCAAACACCACAGGAAGACTGTTACAGAGCATTGGGGTCGGGGGGGGGGAGTTACCAACGTACTTGCAAATCTCAGGGTTTGCTGGCATGACTCAGTCAGCCAACAGCAGGATGTGAGAAGTCCTGGATCTGAGGGGTTTCAATCGTACTGCACAACCAAAGTGTAATGCCAGCAATTCACTTCCTTTGCAAGAACCTAACCGCACC